AGTATTAGCGATCGCGTGTGACATATATCTGTGTGTGGTGTTGTGTTGTATATTGTTAACCGACCTCAGAGCAGGTGAGACTACCCGCTGAATTTAAGCATATTACTAAGCGGAGGAAAAGAAACTAACTAGGATTCCCTCAGTAGCTGCGAGCGAACAGGGAAAAGCCCAGCACCGAATCCCGCGGTCGATATCGGGCGCCGGGAAATGTGGTGTTAGGGAGGATCCGTTTATCCCGAGGTCGCGCGGCGAGTCCAAGTCCTTCTTGAACGGGGCCACAGCCCATAGAGGGTGCCAGGCCCGTAGTGGCCGCTGCCGATCGCGGGAGGATCTCTCCTCAGAGTCGGGTTGCTTGAGAGTGCAGCCCTAAGTGGGTGGTAAACTCCATCTAAGGCTAAATATGACCACGAGACCGATAGCGAACAAGTACCGTGAGGGAAAGTTGAAAAGCACTTTGAAGAGAGAGTTCAAGAGTACGTGAAACCGTTCAGGGGTAAACCTGAGAAACCCGAAAGGTCGAAAGGGGAAATTCATTCGCGTTTCGGCCGTCGGCGATGAGCGGTCGCGCGACGGACGGCGTTCGCGCGTCGTCCGCGCCTTTCGCTTTTCGATCCGGCGTCGAACGCGTGCACTTTTCCCCTAGTAGGACGTCGCGATCCGTTGGGTGTCGGTCTACGGCTCGCGGTGGAGTCCGTGTACGATCGTTTCGGCGATTCGTGCTCGAACCCGCGATGTTCCGGCCGACTCGCTCGACGGTATACAGATGGCGCGAGGCCGCTACTTCTTCAATTAGCGTCCGACCCACGACAAGCACGTTCGATGCTAAGACGGCGATCGGACCTAGCGCCCGGTTCCGTCCCCGGACGACTGTTGGTCGTGCGGATTTCTCGGACAGACCTCGTTTGAAACGCCGATCTGCGACGCTATAGCTTTGGGTAATTTCAGGACCCGTCTTGAAACACGGACCAAGGAGTCTAGCATGTGCGCGAGTCATTGGGACATAACTAAACCTAAAGGCGCAATGAAAGTAAAGATCCGCCTAGCGCGGATTTAGGGAAGATGGGCGGCACGTCTATAAAGCGGCCGCTCCGCACTCCCGGGGCGTCTCGTTCTCATTACGAGAAGAGGCGCACCAAGAGCGTACACGCTGGGACCCGAAAGATGGTGAACTATGCCTGGTCAGGACGAAGTCAGGGGAAACCCTGATGGAGGTCCGTAGCGATTCTGACGTGCAAATCGATCGTCGGAACTGGGTATAGGGGCGAAAGACTAATCGAACCATCTAGTAGCTGGTTCCCTCCGAAGTTTCCCTCAGGATAGCTGGCGCTCGTCTGTGACGAGTTTCATCCGGTAAAGCGAATGATTAGAGGCATTGGGGTCGAAACGACCTCAACCTATTCTCAAACTTTAAATGGGTGAGATCTCCGGCTTGCTCGAACTAATGAAGCTGCGAGAATCGAATCAGAGTGCCAAGTGGGCCATTTTTGGTAAGCAGAACTGGCGCTGTGGGATGAACCAAACGTCGAGTTAAAGCGCCTAAATCGACGCTTATGGGATACCATGAAAGGCGTTGGTAACTTAAGACAGCAGGACGGTGGCCATGGAAGTCGGAATCCGCCAAGGAGTGTGTAACAACTCACCTGCCGAAGTTACTAGCCCTGAAAATGGATGGCGCTGAAGCGTCGTGCTTATACTCGGCCGTCAGCGGCATGTGCGGTCTCGATCCGCGTAAAAACGGATCGGCCATGAAGCTCTGACGAGTAGGAGGGTCGCGGCGGTGCGCGCAGAAGGGCTGGCCGTGAGGCCGTCTGGAGCCGCCGTCGGTGCAGATCTTGGTGGTAGTAGCAAATACTCCAGCGAGGCCCTGGAGGACTGACGTGGAGAAGGGTTTCGTGTGAACAGCCGTTGCACACGAGTCAGTCGATCCTAAGCCCTAGGCGAAAGCCGATGTTGATGTGGCGTTGTTTTATAAATATATGTATGTATGTGTGTATATATAAAGAACACGCCCGTCGGGCGAAAGGGAATTCGGTTCCTATTCCGAAACCCGGCAGCGGAACCGTACAATAGTCGGGCCCTCGCAAGAGAGTTCGTCGGGGTAACCCAAAAAGACCCGAAGACGCCGTCGGGAGACCAGGGAAGAGTTTTCTTTTCTGCATAAGCATTCGAGTTCCATGGAATCCTCTAGCAGGGAGATATGGTTTGGAATGCGAAGAGCACCGCAGTTGCAGCGGTGTCCTGGTCTTCCCCTCGGACCTTGAAAATTCGGGAGAGGGCCACGTGGAGGTGTCGCGCCGGTTCGTACCCATATCCGCAGCAGGTCTCCAAGGTGAAGAGCCTCTAGTCGATAGAATAATGTAGGTAAGGGAAGTCGGCAAATTGGATCCGTAACTTCGGGATAAGGATTGGCTCTGAGGATCGGGGCGTGTCGGGCTTGGCGAGGAAGCGGGTCGCGGCTGACGTGCCGGGCCTGGGCGAGGTGAAACGTTCTGTCGTATGCGTTCGCGCGTGTGCGGTAGGATTGCGGATCCGAACTCGGTACCGTGCCTTGGCCTCCCGCGGAACCGTCTTGCTGCGAGGCCCAGAGTGCGCTCGCAAGGGCGTTCTGGTGTCCTCTTCGGCCGCCATTCAACGGTCAGCTCAGAACTGGCACGGACCGGGGGAATCCGACTGTCTAATTAAAACAAAGCATTGAGATGGCCCCTGCGGGTGTTGACTCAATGTGATTTCTGCCCAGTGCTCTGAATGTCAACGTGAAGAAATTCAAGCAAGCGCGGGTAAACGGCGGGAGTAACTATGACTCTCGTTCCACAGCGAGATCGCGGATTTAGCTAGCGCACAGCCGTTAAGCGGTCCAAATGCGATCGAACGTGTATAATATACGAAAGACGATCTTCAGCTCGCTCTTCGTAATATTTTTTCACATATGCGACATCTCTCCTCATTCCGAGTGAGAATACGACGACGACGACAGTTGTTGTCTTATAACCGAAACGTAGAACTATCGTTTTTCGATCAGAGCAAGAGAGATGCGAATGGGATCCTTGCGGGCAAAGGCCAGATCCTCAGAAGCCTCTTTGAGTATGCTCTGGTCTCATTAGCTAGAGAAAACCAAAGTTGCTAACATGGGGAGATTTATCGAGCAGGGCGAGATATCAGTGTCGGCTCTGATTGACTCGTATCCAACTTGCTACGGTAAATCGTCGGTGAGATACCAACAAGCGATGTATCGTCTAAGAACAAACGAACTCGTTTGACCAGCTAAAAGGCTTCAAACAAATATGGATGTAAAGCACAATACCAAACAACCATAGAGGGTCCAGGTATCAAGGGTAAACCGGATTAAAACGACAAAACGTGTTCGTCACCTCCGCCTAGGAGAGGACAAAGAACAAGTTGAGTCGACTGGGTCCCTAAGAATACCGGCCTTATTGGTTTACCTCTCCTAGAGGATCCCACAAGATAAAGAAGGCAAACCACACTTGTCGGAAATAACACCAAAATATGGACCTCTTGGTCACTCTAGTAGTGTCCAGGGGCCTTTTTTGGCTGCAAAAATTTCAGACAAGGAAGAAGGCTTCCCTTAAATACTAAGAACACTCAGTATAGGGGGGGGCCTTGAATTGAACAACAACCCGCACAGGTCTGCTGCAGGTTGAATCCTATACATCCAGGTAATAAACCTGGAAGGAGGATGCCTCGACAGCTCACTAGACCGCGGACCACCAGACTCTTGGTCGGTAAGATCTGGGAAACAGTGTCTGCAAGCGAACCGGACCGACCAATATGGGCAAGTGCGGTTGCTCTATAAAGGGTTCGCTACCAGAAGACCGGTAACTTTACCAAAATTTGAACGAGCGGAATACACCTTACCGGTCTGTATCCGCCGTCCGACGATATCGCATCCCCTAAGGATCGCGATTAGGACAAGATTTGAAATAGCAGCTGGGTGGCGCTGGTACTACCCGCACGTCGGTAGCTACTTGCTATATCATAAGACGCTGAGGACTAGAACACACCACACCAGCGCACCCATGTCAAAGGTCCTCAAAGGGCAGGTCAGTAGAGCGCGACCTGAAAGCCTCGCGGGGCGTCCCGACCCTGTGAGTGGATGATTGTCTCGGGAAAACGAAATATGCAATGGATAAGCGCTGTACGGGATTACCACCTGACCAAAAAACTGCCGTTCGGATTGGTGGTGGCAGCAGCGCGTACGGAGCGAGTTGGAGTGCAGAAAGCGACGAAGCTCGAAACGTATTTGGAGACGATTCAACAATGATTGGTGAAGCTCTCGAAGTGGGTTCAGATTCTCGCTATCAGTGCTCGACTTCACGTACAATTGCTAGTGGAGTTGAGACAGTCAGGCAGACCACCGAGGGGCCGGAACGCAGTTCTCCTGGAAACTCTGAGTCTCCCACCGACTCGGGCTCCGGAGACCCATGCGAGGCCGCACTAACTACTATCACATTTAAGCACCCTGCGGAGAGGTACAATTGCTCGCTATGCGCTCGCGCAGGGAGGGTTATGCAGTCCTTCCTAAGCGCGAAAGACGCTAAAACGCACGTAACAGAGACGCACCCAGAAGTAACAACGTACTGGGAATGTCCGCACTGTGACAGAAAGAGCACGACCACATCGGGAATTTCGAACCATATTCGATCATGCCGACCACTAGGTCGTCCCGCAGAAACTGGTTATACGTGCGAAGCCTGCTCCTCATCATTCCCTACCAAAGTTGGCCTATCGATGCATGAACGGCATGCTCACCCAGCAATCAGAAACCAGAAGCGGTTAGCTGACGCAGCCGCTCCCAGGAAGACGAATGCTGGCGTCAGGTCAAAGATTTGGTCAGAGGAAGAGGAGCAGAAACTGCGCCAACTAAACCAAGAGTATGCGGGGACAAAGACACATTAACAAGCTCTTGATGTCGCAGTTCCCGGGGAAAACACAAAGGCAGATCAGCGACAAGCGTCGTCTGCTCGGCCTGATTGAACCGGCGAACGGGCCAGCGTCTCGAACGAGCGACAGAGCAGTACCCCGCTCACTTGGGAATCAGACAATAAAGCTGCAAAAAGAATCGCCAATAAATAAGATCTTGAAGCCTCAGGTGAAAGTACAGAAATCGTATGACGACGAGAGAGAGATGGAGGCAGTGTATGATAGCTTCGGCGACCAGAACACTTGCCAAACACCATGACGAGATGGCGAAGGACGCTAAAATACAGCCTTTGGCAGTCAGGTTAACTGCAATTGCGGGGAGCTTTCGATCTGCTGAAGATGTCATAAGCGTATCTGACCCACTCGTAAAACAACTCGAAAACGTCGTCAACGAACTCACCGTCGAGTTAGCGGGAGGCAAACCCAATCTGCCCCGAAACGGCCAGAGAGGTAAGGCCGCAAACGCTAACCACAGAGCTAGGGGAAGTAGAGACAAAAGACGCCAACACGAGTATGCTACGGTACAACAACTCTGGGAGAAAGAACCGAAACAACTAGCTACGCTAGTAGTGGAGGATCGGCTCTCAGATATCGAACAACGCCGCCAACCTGAACTACCTCCGGGTGATCAGGTAAGAGACCTATATAACGGACTCTGGGGCGTTGAAGAAACCACATTCTTCCCACCTGATTGGGAAGAGACCGTAGCTACAAGGGTGGGCGTCGTCGATATTAACCCGATACAGCTCGGAACGGTAGAAAAAAGATACCGACGCCTGAAAACGCACACTGCTGCGGGGCCAGACAAAGTGGCTAAGAAGGACATACGCCGAACAGCGCGCATTCTTCTGACTGCGATCTTTAATATCTGCTTGGGGATTGGGTTTTACCCCGAATCCTGGAAACGTAACAGAACAACGCTGATCCCAAAAGATGGCAAGGATCTGACAGTGGCAGCCAGCTGGCGGCCGATTACTGTCAGCTCAATCCTAGCCAGACTGTTCTCGGGGGTGATCGATGAATCTCTTAGGGGAAACATCGAGCTAAGCCGAGCACAAAAAGGATTCACGCATGACGAGGGAGCGGCTCAGAACGTCTCCCTCTTTCGCCAAACGTTGAAAGCGATGAAGGAGGAACAAGGTGGAACTTGTTCCATACTTGACATTTCCAAAGCCTTCGACACAGTGCCACATGGTGCATTAGTACCGGCGCTCAGAAGGCTTGGAGTGGCCCCTTATATCGCTGAATACGTCGATTACGTATACCAGGATTGTCAGACGGTCTTACCATCTACGACCGAAGAAATAAAGATCAGTCTGAAGAGAGGCGTGAAGCAAGGCGATCCTCTTAGCCCACTTCTTTGGAACGCAGTCGTCGACCCATTATTGACATACCTCGATCAGCGGGAAGGAAAGGGAATTGTCCTAGGAGGACGCAATGTGTCGGTCCTGGCGTTCGCGGATGATCTGATTCTTATCAGTAAATCTGAAGGGGACGCCGTAGAGGACATCGAACTTGTGTCTGAATATTTCAGCGCCCTAGGCATGAACCTCTCGATAGCCAAGTGTAGCGCGTTCACGGTTAAACCGCTACATAAAACTTGGGCTATCGTGGACCCCAAGCTTAAGATCATCAAAGATCAGGAAGTCAATTATGTGGACCCAGACGAAGCGATCCGTTACCTCGGTGTCAGTTTCACTCCTTGGAAAGGAGGAATTTCTAGCAAAGACAACGCGAAGGAATTCGTTTCTGCTGCAAAAAGGGCGGCAAGACTTAGTCTCAAGCCCGAACAGAAACTGAAGCTGATATTCGAGTATGTGTATCCCAGATACAGGTACGGAATGGTGCAAAATCCACCTTCCAAGACGGCGTTAGAAGATGCGGACCAACAAATCCGGAACGTTGTTCGTAAAATCTTCCATCTGCCAGAAAGTACCACTATGTATCTACTATATACGCGCAAGAAGGAAGGTGGCCTAGGCGTGACCCGGATGACAACTGATATTCAGCTTGCTGTAATCAAGTCCGTCGTGAGGATGAGGCAGTCTACAGACCCCGTAGTCCGAAACGTCGGAATGTCATCTGTGCGGTCCGCGGAGGCGGAAAAAGCAGCTAAACTGCTACGAATCCAGATGCCGACCTCCACAGAAGCCGTCGCAAAACTGAAGCGAAGCGCCATTGACAAGGAGTATTCCTCCTGGAAAGGGCTACCGTGCCAGGGCGATGGAGTCGAGGAGTTTAAAGATAGGCTATCCAATGAGTGGTTGACCAGGAACGATCTTCTATCTAGCGGTAGGATGATCGATGCCCTACGCATGCGTACCAATACGTACGGGAACAGGACGACGCTCATTCGGGCTGGACACGATCACCTGTCCCACCTATGCCGCGTATGTGAGAATAGGCCGGAATCCCTATCTCACATTATTGGAGGATGTCCAGAGTTGAAGCCGCGAGTGATAAAGAGACACGACGAGATTGGTAACCTCGTCGAGTCAGAAGTATCAAAGAAGCGGCGCAACCTGGAGTTACTCCGCGAGTCAACTTTCCGCGTGTCCAATG